ATCACCTTTTAAGACAGTAAAAGTCGGAGCCGGTAAATTGCGTCCCCCAAAAAAGGTCATAGTTATATACTACGTAAATTGTGGCCGGTGGCCCATGTACTTTTAAAACATGCGTAAATTGCGTCCGGAGTATATTTGAAATGTACGTAAATTGCGGCCTGGGAAACATTTATACATGACAAAACAAAAAAAATTACTACGTTAGACTATGTGCGAGAATTGTCTTACACATTTTTACCAATTTCTTAATTACAAATTGTTTATAATAAATTAATTTAATAATACATTTTTTAACCATACACATTTTTACAGACACATTATTACTAATTGCTAATAATATATTTTTTAATTAAAAACTAAAAACAGCAAAACCAATATTGATACAATTATATTGACAGTCCTAAGTCTGAAAAATGAGAAGGAAAATATTGATTTTGCAAAAAAAGGCTTAGACGTAATTATTACTTATAAATAAAAAATATTTGGGTAGGTACCTAATACAAATTATACCCTGGCCGCAATTTACGTATGTATAAAATATACTCAGGCCGCAATTTAAGTATTTATAAAATAAAGCCAGGCCGCAGTTTACGTATGTACAAAATATGCCCGGGGCGCAATTTACATAAAAAATTAAAAATGGGCCGCAATTTACAGCGACCCGTAAAAGTAGTTGGATTTTCTTCAACAGCATTTTTTCTGATAGGAAAGATAATCTAGTTGGTACTTTGGGGGTCAAAAGTAAAAATTTCCCAGTAGTTTTCAAAAGCGCCAAGAAAAACAAAAGAAAAATTAAGGAAAAACGGGAAAATCAATTTTGGTTTTTGGTGTAACTTTAAAACAAACGACCGTTAGTTTTTTTTTCTATAAATATCAATAAAATTTTAATTTGTTGGGTATAAAAGATTAAAAATTTAATAGAAGGATCCTAATATATTGATTCAAAGACAGATGAAAAATATTAAAAATCCTTAGGCACAGTTTTTTGTTATAAGCATTTAAATTCCAAATATTGACAAAATACGTGAAAATTACGAAAATTTACAAATTATTTCGAGTAAGAAATTCATAAAACTTTTTATTTTTAAATCTAAGATATGAAAATGTAATGCAAGATTCCTCATAAGTTTAGTACCTTTATCAAAAAAAAAAAATGTCTACAAGAAACTCAAATTAAATTTTTATGAACGTTTGAAATTCATATTCTTACAACATCAGATATTCACTCGATTTCTCATGTAACAATTTTCTAATTTTGTTGTAATTAAAAAACGAATGACTGTAGATACTTGAAAATTTTACAGACTATTTATATTAGCATTTCCTATACACCATATAATTTTGAAAATATTTTGACTCTTTTTGAGCTATTTACAGACATTTTTAGTTTTCAATTTTTTTAATTTTTTTTTCTATAAATATCAATAGAATTTTATTTGTTGGATAAAAAAGCGTGAAAATTTAATGCAAAGTTCCTGATATATTGTTACAATAACACTTGAAAAATATTAAAAATACATATTCACAATTTTTTTTTTATAAGCATTTAAAGTTCAAACTTTGACAAAATTTATCACATTTAAAATTTAATAATAATTGTATAGTTAAAAATGTATAAAATGTTCAACTTTTATAGCTAATGATTGAAAATTTAAAACAATATTCTACGTAAATAGGTTATATATAAATTACTTTAGTCACCTTGTTATCATCAAATATACTTCGTAGTATCATAGGCTGACTAACCGTTTTCGCTCAGAATCGTTTTTCTTATACAATGATATTATAACATTGATTTTAAATTTAATACCATCCATTATACAGTGACCCACTTGTAACCTACTGTACAGCAGAGCACCTTTTTAAATATTTTATTTTATTTTATATTTCTGAAGTTTCTTACTTTTTTCAATTACAACACAGTTTTAATTTCAAATGCCAAAGTAGAATATTTTTATGAGTATTTTGACCAACATTTTGAGGGGTAACCGCGTAACCACTCTTCTCATTGAAACTTTAAATTTACTTATAACTCATAAACGATACTCGTCCTAAATTCGTTTTTTATGTATCCATATACTTAGGAAAATATTCTGCTCTGGAATATGAAATTTAAACTGTACCTATATGATGTTATTAAAAAGAGCAAAAAACTTAAAATATGTTGAGGATAAAATAATATATTATAAAGAATATATGGGTTTATTTTAAAAGTTTTGTTTTTTAATGACTATATAGAAATCATATGTAATTTTTTTTTTTCAAAATCTTTAATTATACTTTCTGAAATAATGAGTGTTCAAGGATAAAATAATCACCCGGTATAGTACATTAATTTATCATTGAATTCAAATCGAATACTCCATCTATTATTACTGAGTGATCCGTTTAATGACGAGGTAAACTCGACAACTACTATAGGTATATAGGTATATTATACAGCATGCAGGTGACTTCTTCAATTTTTGTCAATTTACAATAATTGTTTTCTCAATATTCTAAAAAAACTATTTTGTATCCAACTGATACTTATGATCAGACGGAATGCTTGAAACAACATTTGAACCTTTCTACATCCTAAAAAAAAAACATAGTAGGTCGTTGTGCCTGTTGCTCGTACTTTTGGTATGTATATAATATTATTATATATTATAGTGTCACAGTTGCATAGGTCTATACATAAGTAGGTATATATGCATGCGAGAGTGGAAGAATAATGATATATGAAAGTCAAAAAAAAACTGCGGTTGAGGTGATTACTCTGACAGTTCAAGTTACGTAATTGCGATTGATGTATTATAATATATACCTGGCTAGGCCTTAAGTAGTATACTATTATATTATTATATGATGCTCAGCCCGAACTTCATCAATCCAGCGATAGTTACCAAACAGCTAGACGTATAATTGAATATGAATATTATATATTATATAGTTAAGTACTTATTATTTACATATATATGAATAATTTGTCTATTGCAGGTGTCTGCAGCAGATTATTTCCTATAAATTATATTATAATATTTTTAGAATTTATTTGAAGACCAGAATTAAATTTGACGTCGGTCCTCAAGCGATTATGTTGAGTATAATTAATTATTATAATAGTCTCAGGTCGCTTCGTCAAATGTAATTTCAAAAGTTTAATTTTAACAATTTATTAGTACCTGATGTATTATAGTTAGGTCGGTAGGTACTTAGGTGTATTTTAGAATGTTTTTTATTGAAGTACAAGTGGGTACCTATTTATATTTTTATAACTTGTTATCTATCAATACTGAGTAGTGAGTACCTACCTATTGAATAATCCAAATAAAATGAATTTTTATAGAAACTTAAATATTTTCTTCTAAACCACAAATCATTTTAATATTGAATCCAACTTGTAGGCCTTCTGATCAATATATTCAAGATTTTTTTTCAAATTAATAGATACTTAACTCAAATGGCTTGATAATATTTTTTAACTGCTTCGTGACACTAAAAAGTATTTTATTGTCCTTTAGAATAGTTGATAATAATTGAGTTTATTTAAACGTACCTGAGTATAAAGCTAAACAATTTTGCACGGTAATAAGTAATAACGAATTATACATTGTGATCAATCAACAATAAGATTTCTTTGTTTTCACATGCGTTAAAATTGTTGAAAAATTATCTTCTGGCCGATTTGAGTCGACCATAATCTCATCGTACTCTTTTATATATGTATTGTTGATAAACTCTCGCACGGATGTATTAATATGTATAATAGTTAGCACGTTTCCATCATTAATAAACTTTACGAATTGTAAAATATCATTCCGGAGACCAAAGCAACTGCTGCAGAACCATCAGATAATAATCTTAAACCATGAATAAGCGCATTGTTATACAATAAGTATACGTTCATTATTCACTCGCACGTTAAGGTTCTACTATATAATATATATATATACATATTATAATATACTTGCACTGTAGAGTAGCAGAGTTGTATTTTATTTTTGAACGACCATCTAAGCACTATTATTATTATTATTATTATTAATTATCGTATTGTTAGAAACAGAGTAGGTATACGTCAGACGCGAGCTAGAGCCTACCTGTTGATTATACAGGTTTAAAGATGATGTGTAATCCACTAACCGCTCTGATAAACCTAGTTTAACCATCAATTTCTGCAAATCTTAAACTGGGTTTAATTTTTAAACCAAGCTTGGATAATCTTGAGTTAAAACAAGACTGGTACAACAGGTCCTAAGACGGATCAGGGTACACTCGATAACTTGCAGTGACTCATATAATTGGCTTATTGTAATCGGCGAACATTATATTTTAGAATTCAGCTGTTTTAGGGGACATTATTGGATCATAAATTGCTATGGCTTAAAAATGTTTAACCCTTATATAAAAGCATCACTCTTTCTGTGCACAGTGAATCCTGTTAACGTGGGTTCGTAGTATAATATAACACATAGGTATAGGTATAACACTCGTATCATAAATATTACGATAACAAAGTTTTAAGTTATATAATTAATATTGTATAGTTTAAAATCATTAAAAAATACTTTTATTTTTATTTTGAAAAATTATTTCTATAAATATTACACGCTTACACACATTATACGCATATAAATTGGTCATTCCTGTTTCCCAATATCGTAGGTAATATAACATATAGATACGTCATAATATATCACGCGATTCAAGTAGACAAATCGCATATTATTATGATGTGCGTACCTGCATTATTATTAGGACGATGATGACGTACACTATTATATACAAAAATAGATTTCATTATTTTTTTTTACAGTACCTATAGTTAAGTATAAGTATATCACAAATGCTGTTTGGTATTTATCATGACTCGCGAGGCGAACGTCCTGTATACACACGCACCGTCGCTTAAAGTCATAATCTTTATGTACATACTACCTATATATATATACACACATATATATAAATATATATGTATATACAATACGATAGAGCCGTATATTTATATAGGGTCATCAGCGAGGAATGTTAAAGTTGGCCTTGATGAAACGGCCGACGAACCCGAGCTTGAGCAGCAGCGACGGTTTGGTGCTGAGCCTCCGCCGAAGCATCACGTACGACGCCACCTTGAACGCGAGGAACATACCGCACAAGGCGCTCATCGACCCCCAGTATGTCACCTCTGACATGCCAACTGTCTTGAACAGGGCCGACGGGTCCCGGAGATCGCAGTAGTCCTCGCTCTTGGGGCAATCCATCCGGCCACGGCCGTTGCCGTAGATGGCCATGACGAGCGCCTCGACGCCGTGCCGCAGGTAACTGAAGTTCATGCCCAGCCGGATTATGCCGGGGATCTCATCTTCCTCGTAGCCCAGACCAAACGACGCCAGCAGCATCATCGGGCAAGCCACGCACGGTCCGAAGAACACGCTGTTCTGTAAGCATGAAAGTGAAGTGTACGACATTAATATTATGAGCTCGAATTGGAAAAAAATCAATAGGTAGAGGTCCAACAATTGTTCAAAAACTGCGTCCCGAGCACGAGTAAAGATATTGTATACCTCAAGCCTTAAGGATTTACCTACGATTGATGTCACCACATTGGTTTTCCCCCATTTATGATTATATAGGAATACCTATACCACTATAATAGTCCACATGTACATTTGGCCAGGGGATGGCTCGGTGGATCATGGCCTACCCTCAGTGGCGTCATTTCAGTTTTTGAGAGGGGGAGAGTTTTGACCGGCCCATAATAAAAATGAAAAAAATACCACTCGCTAAAAATTACATTACATTACATTACAATTGCATTCTTATCTCAATACAAATAGCCTTCTTACATAACTGTACACTTACTATAATTACTATCAGGTGCAGGGGCGTAATTAGGGGGGATTAGGGGGATAGATTCCCTCCGGAACTTTTTTTTTTACTGCTAACATTTTGATCAAAGTATTGGTAATGAGTAATGACCATCAATGTTTGCTAAAAACGTATATTCCCCCCCCTCCCAAACCAAATGTCTAATTACGCCACTGAATCAGGTGGTTACTATCATAGACATAAATAACCCATTTTTTTGAGGGATAACTATATGACCAAATAATTAGTATAATATATATATAGAGGGATACCTAAATATATTACCTATTAGCTACTTGCTACTATATTAAGGCCCAAAACTAGCACATACCCGGCCCAACAGCGGCCCGCTAATGACAAGCGGGAGAAGGCCTACCCTGCCAACCCCAAATGACGCCACTGGCCCACCCGGCGAGCTGTACCATACTTGTTATGGATTGCGACTTAGTTCATTAACATATTAGGTAGTATTGCAGTCTTATTCTGTGGTATCATTATATTGGCTTAGCCCGCTCAGTCATAATGGGCTGCTCACGCCTATGAGTAAGAGTACAATTATTACTGTGTATAAAACTCTCAAAGATCGGGAAAAATATTTTTTAAAAACGATCAACACACGACGTTTATTTGCTTATAATAATGTATTGTTGTTTTTATTATGGCTTATATATTATGTTCGGTATTCAGTTTATATTTTTGAAGTAGGTACCTATTATCATATTATATATAGCAAACTATCAGAAAAACATCATACAAATAGACGTCACAATTTAAATCAATAATAGTCTCAACCTGTCTACCGCAACTCCTGTAGTGATGTGAAATATCTACTGTAATAATAATTAATAACAAAATTTACAAATAAATAATAATGACTAATGAGTGATAGTAATGATGGTGACAATAATGGGCGCTTTCCAACTTGTAAGGCAGTATAAATACCTATATTAATATAATAATACAACCAAAGGAATTAGTTGTAATAGTTATTAGTTATAACTGATTACAGGACCAGAATACAGGTGGCATATAAAAACAGTATTTCATCAGCGGAGAAAATACTCGGCATGTGCGGATAGGTGAATGCAAAGAGTATAATATAATATATGACTCCTGAGATTCTTTAAAACGACGTATTTGACATTCCAGTTACAAAACAGTCTAGTAAATGAGATTCACCGTTGTATAATAATATGACTTACAAAGAAATGTTACATATAATTATTATACCTATTAATAATACATTGTAAGCTACATAATATATTGTGCTGATTGAGGGGGGGGCACGAACCCCCTTATTTCGTTAAAACGTAGATATTTTATCATATCTACACGATTGTCGATTGTATCTACAAGGTAATTTTTTGGTCATGCTCACCCACATTTTTCCCTTTAATAGTACATTTTGTTCAAATTCTGATTTTGTGAATTTTAAGTACTTAAATACCATATTTTCAAATTACCGATATTTTCGTTACTGCTTAAGGAGTATCCTATGGTGATACAAACTTCAGTTTTTAAAATGAGAACCCCGTTTTTTACTTCAAATTATTTAGTGGATAATTTTCTTGAAAATGTTTATGTAACTAAATCAAAATTCTAATGAGTAGTTTCTACAGGGTTATAAAAATTTTAAACTAATATGATAATAAACGGTAAAAATGGTTTTGAAAAAAAATATACACTATATTATGTAATATTTTTATACTTGGATAATTAAAAAAAAAACTTTTTTATTGATAGATCTCTAGAAATTACTAACATTTTAAAATCATGTAAGCTCCCATATCTACTTAGTACTTAACCCATTACCATAGACATATTATCCTTAGTAGGTACACAAATCTATATAACTTTAAAACTACTCCTTCGAATATTTTGATTTTGAATTTAATCATAAACATAGGGCAAGCATGTATCACCTTGTATATGTATGAAAATAGCACACATCAATAACTACCTACACCTACATATATACTCGTATATATTACAGACACGAATTCAATATTCTATTTTCCAAAATATATGATTTAAATTCTGATTTGATTATAAAGCTATTTAGAATATGACGTCTAATGCGTTTTAGTTTCCAACATTTTGTCTACCATAATTAATTAGATAATATTTTCTGCATTTGCTTCGTATGCCCCCAACAATAGACTTCATCGTTTATCATTGAAGAATTAATGTGTGTACTGAACTGCGCAAAGTATAAATTATTAAAAATGTTAGTATGTACTAGGTAGTAATGTTTACGTGCTCAATGACATAAGTAGATGCAGTCCGCAGAAATAATTGTTGCACGAAACTTGTTTGTGTTTTTTATTTTTATACATTATCAGCATTCAATTTTGACGGAAACGCGTACTTATAACTAAACGGAAAAAATAACGATCGACTTAATGAATAGTCTGCTTATTGAATATAGTGCTAGCTTTTGTTAAAATTAATATTTTAAAGGAATTTATAATATTTTATAACATTTTATGTATTATGTATATAGAACCTTATAATTCATTTTTTCTCATGGCCCATCAGCTATATTATAATGAATTAGTGCGTCGGTAGTTGATAGGTAAAGTATATACTTCCGGCCCTGGCGATACCACACTGTAACTAAACTCAGAAATTGTTCACACGAAGGACGAACGTCGTCTTTTTTGTACTTGGAAAATAAATAATGTCTCTTACATATTTTGTTAAACAAGTTACTTTAATGTCGGGTAATTAAAATAAGAAAATGTTAATATTTTATAAATATGGTTTGTCGCACAGTAAGATAAATGATACCGCAGCTCGATTCAGCCAGATTGATGATAGCCGATAGGATATTAATTATTATAAATAATATTCTCAGTTAAGTTCTTAGGAACATAATAGGTTGGTATTCGATTTATTTAAGTTCGCATCACTATATAGGTGCAAATACTCTTTATTCAGTTTAACTATCGACAGCTAAAATATATATTTACCTTGGACATAATATGAGATAATATATTATACATAATATTTTGATAAATCTCTCCTAAGTATATGTTGTTTTTGGGGCTCAAACGTAATGCTGCAGTTTTTAAAATTAATGTGTCAATATGTAAGTATTATTTTTATCAATTATTTAATAATCATTAAATCACGACCGGTTGGAGCAGGAATTTGACTACAATCTTCAACTTTGAGGGTGATTTCTGATAGCAAATTTTATCTAATACTTTGGGTATAGCCAAAAATTCAACTTCTATTTTCTTAATAATTGTAAAAAACTAACAAAACGGGAATATTTATGCAGCTCTAGTTTTTGAGAAAACAGATTTTATTATTTTGTAGTGATTCAGAATTAATAATATTATCTTCATGTTTCTACGCTATCGTGTATTTATTTCAATGCAATGTTGACAAAATTAAACGAAAAATAACGATTTTAGTAATTTTGTTGGTATTAAAAAAATATTATTCTTAAGTACTCGATATTTTTCGTTAATACGCATATTCTTATTTTCTATACATAATACGGTTGCCAAAATATTTGGACTTTTTTCATAATACGAACCTACTATAATAAAATTCTACGGTTCGTCGGTATTGATTTATAAATTATAAGTTATAATTTTTTAAATTATATGCTATGTGTTTGGAAAAAATCAGTTCAATACCTATTGAATTAAGAAAATACTAGTAATAATATAATAATGTGATACTTATAAACTGTTTTCGGTGATAAATGATAAACCCATCCGCCTCAGAATAGTTTATTTTAATTCATCATTGAATTTAAATTTAACACATCTATTACAGTGACCAGCTAGTAGCCATATAGGTAAGTATTGCCAAATGCCGAGGTACATTTGAAAATTGAAACATATCAGTAGGTACTATATAGTATTTAATAATTATATAGTGTAGGTAGTGATCCCCCCGGTTATTTCTACTTTCTAATTGCTGAGTAGTAACCCAACCTAATGTTTTTGACGTCAAATATTTTGTTTAATTTTTTTGCAACCTTCTAACATACTGTATTTTTACGACACTTATGTTATATATTTTTAAACTAGAATTTGAGATTTGGTTGTAAAGTGATGATAAAAAATGACCCAGCCTACCAAAATGCACTGTACATCTCGAAGAACTTACCGTAACGTTGAATTGTGAAGAAATCGCGTACGCCAAACTCTCTGATGACAAGGACACCATCAAACACACAACGGAAAATTTAATTCCTCGTTCCCATTCCAACGGTTGGTTTGTCAAGAAGTAAGTTATCGCTATGTAGACTGACGATAGGATTATCTATAAGGTATAATATATTGTATTATATAAGGTATAGATATTGTTTAATATGCTTGTTATAAATTTTAATCTATAATCAGTGTTATGGGAGAGAGAGGAAACAGTGGCACTCCCCCCTGAGACGCTTTTTATTATTTTGCTTAATTCATGTTTATTTTTGATTATATTATACTTATTTACATTTTAATGATTTTAAAGTGAGGTATTTAATATTTTACCCCCCCCCCCCCCCAAAAAAAAAAAAATGGTTCACACCAAGCTACTGGTTATATAATAGTTAAGCAACCGTTTACCTGCATCGGGAGTTGTGAACACGTGAGCGCACAAAAATAAGCATTCAGTCCGTACCATCGGTTGAAGTATTCCCGTTTCAATAGCTGAACTTCTATAGGAACTGAAATCATATAATATGTTCTTATTTTAAATCAAACGTCTAGTGTTGTAAATCGTGAAGCTCGATAAGACTCACATTTTAACAATACTGGCATAAGTGGTGTGTACATGAAAACGATAATAGTGATAAATATGAACCCATAGTTGAAAATAGTCATAGAAGCGTCATTTCCGAATTGAAAAAACATGCCGCCGACTACTAGGCCGATAAACGTGTACATGAACAGTTTGAACAATAAATACGTCTAAAATTAAATTATCAAAAAATGTTAACCGTTTTCAAGAGTTGGCGTGTTGGCTGTTGAGGGTTTCTTTTATTATTATTATTTTTTTTTTTAAGTTTCTTACGTAGTCTCTTTTGTGTTGTATCATCATTCGCCTGAGGAGCACGTTAAACTGAGACCATCCCGTACTAGAAAAATCGTACAGATGATTGGAGACCGTGTCGTACTGTGACGCTCGGCGTACGATTGGCTTCCTCGTTTCAGAATTATCTTTGAACCACCTCAAACATTTACCGTTGTCCACGGCCGTTGACATTTTTTCCGAATAATCTCCATACTCCCTGCTGCAAACTTCTATCACTGGAGGAAACACAACAGGGCAAACAATTTTTTGATTTTAATACCAATTTATTGATCGTAGTGCAGTTCAGTCATTCGTTATATCATTCTCGTCAATGCTTACTGAAATCCGCTGGGTTGTAGTGCTTAGGGCAATTGAGTCCTACGGCAGACAGGTACGGAACTATATCCTGACCAACTCCTGCAAACATACACTGTCCTTCGGCTACTATATATATGTGATCAAACATCGCAAATAATTTTGCGCTGGGTGTGTGTATAGAACATATGATTGTTCTACCGCCATGGGCAAGATCCTTAAGTAATGACACGCATTGCGAACTGGATAAGTCGTCTAAACCACTATGAAAAATAATAATAACAATAATATACATTCAAGAGGACACCCGTAATTAAGTTATAAAAACCGTTTGGCGCCGGACCACTTTTCTCGCACTATATACTTAATACTTATATAATAAAATAATCAACATTTTACAAAACGTAAAGATGAACTTTACTTATGACGGAGGGTTTTTGTTATTTTGATACCATGAATACAAGTAAAGTTATCGGTTTGAGAACATAAGATTTTTTTATTTTTTTAATTTAATTATTACAAAATATTGGGTAGTGCTAGTGTGCTACACAGATAAAGTTCTTCCTTGTTCAAACTAATTATATTTGGCAACCATTTATCAGTATTTAGGTATCAAATACTTCGATACGTCTATCTTATGCAGATATTCGAATAGGATGAACAACAATATTACGTTTATTACATTTTATCTATACACTTTATTGTTTTTAAAATATTTGTATATTTATTAATTCAAATCTTTATATAAAAATCTTGGAACTACAGCTTTAACACTTTTTTCTTAGTGAAAATAATAGTAATTCATTAAATGAATGTATTTGGTACAAGGGAATATCGCTTTAAGTTTCTATACCCATTGGAAATTTATTTTAATGTATTTAAATATTTATGTCAAATGCAACGACATGTTAATTGATCTTTATAATAGTTTCTATAAAAATAAATAAATGGCATACCTATTACTATTTTAAAAAGCATATACGAATACAACGAATCTATTTAAGATATTAAATATGAATATTAATAATAATTAAATATTATTTTATATGAATCCTTGAAATAAAAATGAAAAGTGTTATACCTTATGGGGCTACATATAATAGGTATTATATTGAATTATATTATGATGGAGTTATGGCTATGGTCAACCAAGACCTGATAGACTTAAGACTACGATGTTTTAATAGAATGATTGATGTAACTCCATAATAGTAATAATAGTTATAAAATAAAGAAATAGAAACACTTACGTGGTAGGTTCATCCAAGAATATTACAGGGGGATTGTTAACAAGCTCCAAAGCGATAGACAATCGTTTTCTTTCTCCGCCAGATAAATTCTCCATGAGTGTGTGTTTCGCTTTAGTAAGCCGAAGCATTTGTAGGATATCTTCGATCTAAAAAATAAAAAACTATCATTGTAAAAATGTTGTTGAGTCATTCGTAATCGCGTTATTTTTACAGATTCAAGTTTGTTTTCTTTGCAAATCGTAGAACCAAGCTTTAAATCTGAAGCTATTTCCATGGACTCTAATACTGTAAGTGCCGGTTGCAAGAGGTCTTCCTGCATTATGTAACGACACATTTTTCGAAATGATTTCATTTCTCTTGGTCGGCTATTTACCATGATTGAACCTCGGGCGTCACCACATCTAACAAACCCGAAGTATAGTGTTGAAAACAGTTATAATTGTGAAATAATAAATATTATGTTTACGGAAAAATTAATACCTATAACCAGCTAATACATTGATCAATGTACTTTTCCCCGCGCCAGACGGTCCGAGTATAGCTGTCAGTTCACCGGATCTGAACAAACCACTTACACTCCGAAGAATAATTTTTGATCCTGTAAGAGAAAAAACACTTAATATGATATTCAGGTATTTAAATTATATATTTTACATTTTTACAATATATATATATATATATATTATTTTAGTAGTTGATATTATTTTCTAGTGACTTGTGTACCATAATATAATTTCTTCACGTTTATGAACATTTAACCATAAAATAACTACGTTTTTTTTTTATTATATTTAAGAATTATAGTTTTATGAATATAGGTAAGAATACATGCATAAAATAATACCAATTTAATATTTAAACATGAATAAGTCGATCTTAACTATTACTATAAATGTTTTGCTTAGTTTAATTATTACTTTAAAGGAAATAATATTGTTGAATTTTATATTTATATATATACCTAGATATTATAACATAGTATATACACCGGCCGGTATATTACCAGTTTAAATGTAATTCCAAAAATTAATTTTAAAAATATTTAATAAAATAAATATCCAGTGAGTCAGTTTTCCATGAATCAATGCCCGATTTTCAAAGTTATAATAAATTATAGAAGCTAAAATATGCGTTTGAATAATGTATAATATTTGTTATTTTTCAAACGTATTTTTCTAGCACTTTTTAAAGAAAAATGAAAATTCGGACTTTCATCCGATCTGACAAAAGTTCTCATATTTCAGATAAAAAAAATTATCGGAATTCGAAATATCAATGAGGCTTGAGTGTTTTTCCTGTGAAGTTATTTTCATTGATATAATACACAGTTTAAACACCCACCTCCCCCCTAAATAGGTATCGGGAGTAGATTAGTGGAAAAGTATTAAAATTACGGGAGCAACTAAAATATAAAATAAATATAATTTTCAAATTGTATCGAGTTGTGGAAAATTGGAAAAACCGGTACCGACACCATCAATGATATTTTATTTAAATGTTGTTTATACTAGAAACTATGTAAATAATTTTTTTTCAAAAACATATTTATACTTTTTAAAATGATAAGACGTGTTGAAAGATAAAATAATCAACTGGTACTTATATTATATATTATATAAAATTATTATAAAACTACTATGTAACAAAACGATCTGCAATAGATTACTTATTAATCACTATACATTTTTTAAACTTTTTTCTGGATAAGTACCTTCTAGTATTGACTTACATCCAAATAGGATCAACTGGTCTTCAGCACACACTAAACCTTGAGTTTCCTGTCAGATTATTTGTTATTTATATAAACTTATTGTTACAATTTTAAGTATTTCTTAGATTATAATATTATATACTGAATTTGGAAATTGGAGATAATTTTTGAATGTTTTATTTATTATTTATTATTTATATTCAAACACGTAAAAAATCTCGTGGCATGCAGTGTAAATCGAAAAAATGTAATAAGTACTCTTTGTTATATAATATTTGTTAATTTTTTTAAATATTACATAATTTGCCATTTATTTCAAATCTTAAGCTGTCACAAATATCAAAATGTATACTTAGGTATATAATAATTAATAATACATTTTAAATCTGTAATTATATTAATTAAACTCATTAAGTTTAAATTAAACGAAATATAATTTTTTTAAATTAATGTTGCAGTCCTTTATAAATCATATTATATTTCTTTTAAGTATTTTTATTCAAAGTTTCTATTTAAAAAAAAAAATAATTAAACATTTAACAGCACAAATACGAAGGTAGATGCTAAAAAACGTATAATTAATTCATTCAAATTGGCTGGATTTGACCTTTGTATCCGGTATATCACCTATGCAATGACCAAAAAAAAAAAATTATCGAAGAATAATTAAATTTGAAATGGTAACAATAAACATTATATACGTATATTTTTTTATTGATCTAATACAACTTCGGCTGATATTAAAGTCATCAGTTAAGGCAGCGCCGGATCATAGCTTTTTAACACCCGGGGAAAATTAAAAAAATACGCCCATCTCAGGGAGATGATCAGAAATAGTATTTTTTTTACGAAAAATCAAGCACACTCACACAGTATTGCGAGGAACTGAGGACCAGCATTTACAAAACCTTTCCAAATATACTGCAGGACCAATCATTTATTTACCACAAATAATTTGAACGATTTTAACTTAAAAATGAAACATTTTAAATTTTAAACTACTCACGTAATGTAGTTTTAGAAGCACTTCTTAATGGTGTATTTAAAGCTAAAATCTGTGGTCAATATTTCTAATTTCCAGGTTTAGAATAAATAATATTGATAATAATAACATGTATGAATTGTTTATTAACAAATCAAAATTAGGTATCCATTAATCCATTGCTTACTTTTAATATAGGACGCTTTATGTAAAAGAACAATATTTAATTTACAACATACCTATCAATATCATGCATTTTCATTTTTAATATTTGTTACAATCAAAACTTAATAATACGTACCTAGGTACGGAATAAATACAATGAAACAAAAATGTAATCATGTACTGAAAATTGTAATATAATGATTGTAACACGACAAAGAAATATGTATCATGGATTATCACTTACGGATTGAATGTACCTATATACTAAAATAACTACATTCTACATTCTATATTTTAAAAATTTCCAGAATAATAAGGACCTGGTTGTCTGTTTGACATCTTGAACTATAAAAATAAATTAGACAAAAAACACAGTATATAAAAAAAAAAAAACGAACCAAATAGAATATAAATTTCCTTTTAAATTATTTTATTATAATATGTAAAACATAATATTCAATCTGTCTTGGGCTACAATCAATAGGATAGTATTTTTGTTTTAATTATTTAATTATGTTATACTTTTATAGTATCAATTTTATCAAGTAAATTAATAGTTGTATACTTGTACCTATTTAAAAAGGAAACACAAATGACAAATGATATTCCATTTTGTGTTCTGTTACATTTATCTAGTGGCCATGGTGATATTTATAAAAAGGCATTAATTGTTAAATACAAAGACTTTTATAAGCCTAGGTACAAACATGTAATTTAATAAATAATCTGAAAACAATTAAATCATTAGTACCTAAGTAACATTTTATGTAGTACATAATTTTATGCAGTACCTACCTATTTGGAAAAATATATAGTTGTTAATTTAAAATCACATAACAATGAATTACAATTAATAGTGCGATTTTTAAGATTAAGGTTTTAAACAACTATCTACATAATATTATATTATATGCAAGAAAATGATGTAATTTACCATACTTTATTATGTCACTAATCGGAGAGTACATTAATCTATTTATGATAGACTAAGGCATGTACACTCCCGCTGACAGTAAATTGCGGACGGGTTTTATTTATTTTATATTTTTATCTATTTTTTACCTTTTTCATATTTGTCCTTTTTAATATTTAAATTAATGTTATTAGTTATTACTAATCTCGATTAAAAATAAAATTATTTTATTTTATTCCCATACCCAATACTACACATTTCCTGTGAAATATTATTTTGTACTTAGTTTTGACTTTTGTTTTAAAGTCCATTTTCAATTTTCAATTTATAAAATATTTAAAACCTTAAAAATACGCCCTCGAAAATTATACGCCCGGGGATAAATCCCTGACTTCCCCCCCCTAGATCCGGCCCTGAGTTAAGGGGACGTTACATTGACATTAAAATTGTGTAAGAAGTCAATTTGCTCTAACTTTTAAACTAACGGAGATAAACGTGTTCTACTCAGCGTAAAATTTGCCATGTTACGCACTTGTAAGACGGAGACAACAAATGCCATTGTAACGTCCCATTAAGGTTAAGTTACAAAATTGAAAAGGTACCTGTACAATATAAATGGTTATAAAAATTAAGTTATGTATATTATGTTAATAGATTTTAGAAAAACAAATTTATTTTAAAATAGGTACATACAAAAAGCTATAAATTTAAGTCATTACTTTTTAATAATTGATTTCTAAATTATAATAAGTATGTTATAGCACAAGTATTAATTACATTGACTTATGCCCATTATAATATAATACTAATGTACTAATAGCAATATAGTATAGTTGAGTATACTATAGTTCTAGTACAATACGATTCACAACCTGGAGAATCGTGACCCCTCAAGAGGTTGTCAAATAATTATTTTGAATCGATAACTTGTTATGGTATATGGTATATCCTATGTACATATTATGAACATAGTAGGTATTTGCGAAAAATATAACAATATTTTTCTTATATGAGTGTCGCGAAATATATAATATTTTAAGGTAAAAAATTAACTCAATAACACAAATATAACTAATTTGAAAACACAGTCTCACACTTTAAAATAATAATAATTAAGGTTCATAATATTTTGAGACATCGTATTATACCTATTTAGAATAATATTCGTAAATAATTAATTTCATATATAATTTAAAAAACTTATATTCATCACGATAATACCATTATGATTTAATGACTTTTACATATTTAAAAAACTAAATAAGCCATAGGTGTACGTTAATAACCGTAGAATAGGTTAATGTTGTTCACCCTGTATATACGATTTAGCAACGAATAACTAGTTTCGTTAAAGAGGTCACTGTCCTTTAATACTAAAGCTGTATATCGGCTGCGTTCGCAATTTGTAGAGCCTCAGGAATCTGCAGAGCAAGTTACATTTACTTAAAACTGTTTATCAGTAACCGTCATTATTTTTAATCATCATTATATAATGTATAAGATAATATTATACACAGTTTTTACTAGAAAACAGAAGTGAAAAAAAAAACTAACAGGTTTCGTTAGTCTTGAGATGAAGTAATATTATAATTTATAATATGACAATACTAGAATTTTTTCTAATATAATTTACACATTAACGTATATATCCGGCCCGTACTTATACTTTTCGATAACAATAAACGATTGATAACATTAACCGTGATTATAATAAGCGGCGACCACGTATATAGGTTAAAAACAGATAGATTACATTTTTTAATTATTTTAATTATTTTTTTTTCAAGACATTCGGACTTTTTCTTTGTAATTTGTAAAAGAGAAAATACTACGCAATTTGTATGAGTAAATTAATAGTGCAGTTTAATTTATAAAGTAGGTACCTATAATATATTATATCTTTAATTTGATTGTTTAAGAGGACGACAGTCGACAAGTGTTGTCTTCGTCTTACAAGAGAACCATACATAGCGAATTTGCGTTCAATAAAACCAATTTCCAGTTGTTGGTTATACATTAGATTGAATTGACGCATTATAAGAACAATCTGTGTTTATAATTCAGGTTTTCACGACATTTAACAAATTACAATGTTGTACATATACACCCTCATAACTAGTCATAAGTCGTAACTTGCCTTGAAAATTGAAAAATCATAAAAACTGAGGCACAAACATGGTTTTAACCTTTAAGTTCAACAATAGGTCAATTAACTTTGATATAAAAGGCACCAAACAACACAAAATCGGTTCTATTAAATGCAAATTTTCATTTTCTAAGACGTTTTATTATTAGCCGTGTTATAGTTTATAGATGTATAAATAAGTGGTTTTTCGACTTAAACGTTTATAGAAGATTTCTGCTGTATAAAGTCGCAGTACCTATAAACCTTGTGGATATTTTCAAGTTTTAAATGTCTAAAAAACCATCATCAACAGAAAAAAAATTATAGTAAATTGTAAAACACACGGAATCAACTGTGAAACATTTCGATTTTTCGAACGATTTTGTTTACTTATGCTTTTAAATGTACAATAATAATACGACAATACACTATTATTTTGAGGTGCTGAGGTGAGTAAACATTATAGAAGAGTGCCCCAAAATACGTCCACCATATTGAATAATAACTAATTCATTAAATAAAAAACTATTCTCAATTAATGTCATCGTAGGTATAGGTCACCAACAATAATTTATTATTGTGAATTCACGATGTCGTTTCATCGAAAATATTAATATTTATCTGACAAGTTTATTACTTACCTTTAATTAAATTAAATTTGTAACTATTCTTTGAAATAACAATAACCTACTACTACTATACGTACCTAATCAATAATGGCGTGTATATTTAAATTATTATTATTAATGATCTACGCCGTCTATACATTTATTATTTGTGTACCTAGGTTATATATTTTTATCGAAATAGTTATAATCTAATAATTAACGTCTATTAATGGTTAGATTATATTTCCGTAAATTTACTGATACCTACAAGGACTACTATGCAAAAAAAAAAAAGAATGACAACAATTTAGTGTCAATTTATAATATTTTTATCAGCATGTATTATATAGGTACATACATACATACAATACTATGTGCATATAAAATTATATGTTTAATGTTTGATTAATTATCTCAATGTATAATCGACTCAAATAGGTATTTTAATATATTGTTATGCAACGAACACAATACTATTGATAAGGTCATAATTTTGAAAAAAAAATAATTACCGTAAAAAGGTCAATAATATGTATATATTTTTAATTCCTTACCATTTCGTCCTTGTGGTACACTGTAAGTCAAGTCTGAAAATTCGATATCTACAGGTGGTCTTTTAAGCAGGTGATGATGGGGTTCACAATTTTCAACATCGTCCAATGGATCCATTTTTAAAAATAAATCTGAAAAATATTATTATCTTTAAGCATTGGGCATAAGGTATTTATATTTTATTACATATTTCTTATTAATAACTATTAATTATTTTAATTGTATGTCATTATTTTGATTACAATATCTGGGTAGTTCGATTTAAAATAAATAACTAAAATAAAAGACAATAGAATTTCAAACTTAAAAAATTATTCATTTTAATAAACATTCGAATTTCGGATATTACTATATTAGGAATACGGCCTATATCAATTTATTTTTTCATTAAACGACCAAATTTTGTAAAACGCAATGTAAAAAAATTACTTATATTTTTGAGTACCGACCATAAATAATATATTATCACGATAACACTATAGAATGAATGATAATTGAAAATGACGTCCTTGTCATAACAAAAAAATGAGGATTCGTTGTACATTTATTTATTTACTGTATAATATACTTATAGTCGTATATTAACATAATAACATCCCAAAATATAAGCACAAGCGATGACAAATAACTATTTAAAAATAATTGTAGTTATTGTATAGAATTAATAGAAAAATACACAACTGATGAATAAAAC